GGGGAAGGGGAGATAGTTGGAGGGTTCACAGGGTCAAAGTATGGGAATGTACTCATGAAGTTGTGAGAGTTGAGAAACCAAAGAGGAAAGCAAGAACTGGTGTTAGGGAGCATCGGTCTGAGTCTCCAAGGTATTAGGAACTCTCCCAGACAGAGGTACAGAGGTAAAAATGGGGACTTAAAACAGTAGAGAGAAGGGCATCATGTCCCAACAGCAGAGGAACCAAGAAAGCAGAGACAAAGCAGAAGACAAAATCCTGGCCAAGAATATGTAATGAATGAGATGGGTAAAGATGGAAAAATTGAGCACTAGTGTGTGTTAATGGAGTTAGGAGGTCAGTCTCCCAAGTGGGTAGAAGGGACTTCAAGGATTGGGATTCCAAGGAAGAAAAAAAGGAATGACCATAAGCCTTGTGGAGGAATCCTGGAGTCAAGAATTACAAGGCATTTGAAGGTGGGTATGAAGTTGACCTAGGAACATATCAACATGGACACACAAGTCTGGAGGAGAAAGAAACAGCAAATAATCCTCAGTGTGAAAGTCATGTAGTGAGGAACAGGAAGAATAAGAGGACATAGAGGAAATGGAAAGTAAAGAAACAAACCAATAAAGTTAAACCCACAATGAGATTTGAAGAGGAGCACTGCATATCTGTGATGTAAAAAAAGTTGATCAATGTAGTCATCTTCATGGTTGGGTTCATAAAAAAAGAGAATGTACTTCAGATGCAGGAACAGGGAGAAGTGGCAAGGAAGTCATCAAAGAACCCACAACATAATGAAATGTGTCAGTCAAGTCTTCAACAGTCAAGGAGCCTCCAGTGACCTCGGACAAAGTAGGAGCAATGTTAGCAATAAAGCCAGAATCTTAGGAGGAGGAGGAGGTAATCACCATCCCTCAATAATTTACAGTCATTGAAGATATTCTAGAGATCATTTTTTTTAGTTAGTTAGTGGCAATGTAGCTTCAAATTGAAGTTAAAACAAACTAAAACAAAACCAAAAAAAGTTAACACTGTGAAAGGGGACAGTGAAAATCTCATGAAATTGATTAAATTTAAACTTAAAGAAACATGTCCATTAAAAATAATGCTGGGGATAAGAATGAAGTTAATTTCAAGTGCCAGTACTTATGGGGATCTACTACACATGGAGAATGCATTGCCCTCCTATTGGTGGAGGGCTACTGTCACATGATGATTACATCATGCATCAGTGCAGTTCACATTATGTCTTAGGAGGAAGATAGTTGGTTACATGGTTGAAGGACTGACATCCCTGAATTTGGGACATTTACACATGTGCTCTGTCCACATTTTTAGTAGCTATGAAAGTGTAAGAGTGCTGATTCATCCTGTGACATATTGATCGTATGTCTACTGCCCTATCTCTTAGTCAGGACTTTTTCCATCTCCTCTAGACCTTTGACTACTGGTGCATTATTTAAACTCCTTTCTGCACATGTCACAAAAGGGTTAATGAGTTACAAACAAAATTTAATTAAGTCAACTTACTAGCAATGTATTTTAATGAAATTAGTATTATCAAGTACAGTATAATTCAAAGTTTGTATTCCTTTATTTCAAAAGAAACTACGAAAACAATAAATAACTCCTTTCTTACAGTGATCTTTACTGATCACATCACAAGATTTTACTTAGTTATATTTAAAACTTAATTAAGCTATTTTATGATCAATGTTTGTCAATGAAATCAGCACTAAAATTTACATTATAGTTTAAAGTTTTAAATTATCTAAGTCTTAATTCCTTTATTTCAAAAGAAACCTTAAAGAAAAGGGTGTGCTTATAACCAATAGAAAGAGCTGATTTTAAATTACAAGTTTTGAAGGTTAGCATAATACTAGCAAGGTTTATTTGTTCTGAAGCGTACCAAATGCAATTACCATTGTTTGAACATTCACCATCAGCTACCACTTGTTTTTCTCACCTTATACATATTAGTTTGATAGACATTTAAATTTTAATTAGATTTTATTTTCATATTTTAGTTAATTATGTATAACTTGTGTTTTAAAAATTCGTATTTGAAAGGTTTAACAATTTTTTAAATATAACAGTCTTTGCCTCACTCCACGAGACTTAACATTACTAAAGTATCTCTGCTGATGATACTATCATATCGCCCGCAGGCACTCACTGACATGAGTCGACATAAATAATCAACAGTAAATAAAAAATATAACATTTATAAATAAATTAAATGAAAAGGTAAAAACATGAAATTATGCATATGACCCAAAGAAGATATTTTAAGATTATTCAACAAAGAGTTAAAAGATATGTACATATTTCCATTTCTTAATTTTACATTTCATTGCACTATATGTTGAAGATAATAGCTAGAGTTAGTGATATGGTATGGAAAATAAAATATAAACATTTACCATTAAAACTTTGATATTCATTGAGGAGGTTCTAAAGATTATGAAAATGAAATGTGAAAACTGTAAGATAGAGAGATATTTAGTAGAAATAGTAGGAAAAAAATCAAAACTAAATAATTTATTTTTCTGAAACTACACACTTTAGGAAAGTTCTTGTTAAATTTCAAACAATTTCATCTACTAGTTTTATTTTTGAAATGAAATATGATGTGAGTGATGTTAGGTATTTACAATACAAGTACCTGGTAGCCATTGGGTTAGAGAACTGAAGCTCAGCAAGTCTTTCCATTGCTGCTTCTTAAACCTCCCTGAAGTTCTGATCAAAGAGTTTCCATAGGGCCTTCAAGATCTCTGTTTTGTCTGGCTTCAACTTGCCACCAGTGAGAGCGTCACCAACCAGTTTATCTGCTATTTCATTTCCTTGGACCACAGCAAGACCAGGGGAAAATATCCATGCTAGGCTCTTCACATGCAACTTTTGCAGAGATTGCAGACATTCCACATGGAGCCATCCAGCCTCAACTTTATTCAACATACTTCTTGGATTGGTGACAATTACTACATGTCTAGTAGGTTGGTCCTCAACCATCTCAGGGAAGATGATGCAGCTTTGATCTCCATCTGCATGTTTGATGTTGTGGCATTATATGCCCCACTTTGTTCAGCAATAACACACCCAGACTGCTTGACCAAAATAGCCCATCCTCTATGCTCACCTCTAGTAACAGATCCATTTGTTTAAATCACTGGGTCTTGCAGTTTTAAATTTTCCTCAATCAGTTGTCTGGTCTCAGCATCAGTGAAGCTAGCAGCCCATTCTTTGCACTCTCATCCAAGATTGATCACAACTTTAGCATATGAGTTATTTCACTGCAGATCTGTACCTATTCATTTCCACATATATCCTCCCCCACCTTATTGTTCAGGACATCCTAAAGAGGAGGTTCTTGTCAAATGACACACTTAAGTAGGTTTTTTCCTTGGCAACTGCATATCTTTTCCCAATGAAAGGCAGTCCTAGCACGAATCTCACAACCACAATGGGTGTGTTCTTAGTACAGCTCACTATTGCACCTATATAATCCTTGAAGGTTAGGCTCCTATCAAAAGTGATGCTCAGGTATCTCATTTTGTCACATCACTTTATGGTGGATCTAATGTTCACCATTTCCAAGACATCAACATTCACTACCTAAATGTTGAGTGGGATTGTGTATGCATCACGGTCATGTGACACATAAACACTACATGAAGTGACCACATAGCCATTAAGCAAAGGTGTCCCTAATTCTTTAAGTCAACACTGTCAGGTTAAAGCCTCTCCATGACCTGTTACCTACCTTCTCAAAGTGTCTCTGACGCAGGTACATCCAGGGCAACTATCTCCTTGTAGAGATAGGTAGAACAGGTACAGGATTTAGAAGAAGGATATCCTCAATTTCAAAACTCCCAGCTATGAGTCAAATGGCACTTGTACCCACCTGAGGGACATGGAAGACAATCTGAGCAAACATCCCCAAGCCTGGGGTGACCTTTGTGCTGAGAGGCTGAATAGCTGCAGGGTGTGCAGTTCCTAGTAAGTCACTAGTAATTGGGTAGGGTGGTGCCAAGCTGATGAACTCCAACTTAATGGATAACCTCTGATATGAGGGTCTTGTCTGGATGACTGTATCTTTCCTCCATTCCATGAAATCTACTGTGGATAATAAATCAGTTACACAGGTTGGAGATAGCTCAATGCTAGTGGCAAGTACAAAATATCAAAGGCAAATGTGCAAGGAATAGCTATTGTGCACAAAGAGGTAAGTCTACTGTTTCAGAATTTATCTCTCTTTCTAATTTCTTTGTTCAGTATTGAGCACCAGAAATATAATGCCTTCCATCAGCCATATGTTTCTGAACTTTGATATTTAACCACTTTTTTGAGTTATCACTCTTATAGTTTGATTTGTTCTGAATATCACACAAAGCTATGCGAAGGGTGTCTGTGCAAGTATTCCCTAATTTAGCAGTGATAAACTAGAGGGAACTACTCAAAAGCACCCACTGTCAACACTTGGGCTACTCTTTTACCAAAAAATAGTGGGATTGAATACAACATTATAATGACCCCATGGTTGATAAGCAAGCATGTTTGATCACTCTTTTAATTGTCATGTTTTAGCTATCTTGCACTTTTTTTTTTGCAAAGTTAAAAATAATATTAATAAGAATATTTTTAATGTGTGCTTTTTTTTTTAAAAGAAGAAATTTCTACATATACATAATGAAACTGAACATTCATCCCACAGGCTCCCATTGGCAGGCAGTACTCATCTAGAGAGAATATAATAAGAGCTATTGTAAATGTACAATGACCTTAGAAAATGTATTCAAGCACATACCCACAAAACATAACATTAGATTTAACAAGCGCAAAGGACGTTTAATCTGAGTATATCATTATTGTATTCATCCACAGGAAGTATTTTTCAATGGTATCTTTATTTTCGAACCTTTGAGTTTACCCTTAGACAAATACTGATTCAGGCAAGATATTTCTTAGCAGCCTTACAGAGACCACTAGAGTAATGTTATGAAAGGAAGTTACTTACTGTGTTAAGTTGGGTCCTATATCATTTGGACAAACACTGACACCTGGTGGTGGCTCTTTTTGAATAGCTAGAAGCTCTTTTTGTAGTCTTTTCTGGTGGACAGAAAAATAATTAACCTCTTATGACACCACAGTGTATTTGAAATCAAGCAGTTAAGTAACCTTCAGTAATTACAGCAAACTATCTTTCTAAGTTTAAAATGAGCTAAAAACTAGTGAACCACCGAAGATTTTACTCATGCAGAATGAATTTTATTATAAGTTTTTGGAACAGTTCATTTGAAAATGTGGTTTGTTGAGGAGGTTCATTTTGTAATAAAATTTGTCTGCTGTCTCTTCTGATTTTTACATTCTTATTACAAGTATTGAAAGTTGTATCATTTCCAAAATATATGCTAGGTTTAAGTCAAGAACATAAGAATCTGGTTCATTTGGATTACCTTTAGTCCTCAGATAAATAAAATTGTAAAATAACTTATCAAAATATAACCTTTCACATCTAATAACCAATTCAACAAAAATCTGTAAGAATCTACAGTATTATCATATATCACATTACCAAGCAAAACATTGCATAACTTAAAACTTCTAACACAAAAACAATCTTGTCTGGGTTCTATGAAAATTAGGTATCTTATGAATCTAATAATAGGTAGACAAACATCAATTTATAAGTATAAGGAAAAGTTTTACTGTTGGTGGAACATATTTCATGTTTTGACAGAACATTGGTCTGTCTCCTCAGGTCTGATCAGTACCAGTGGCATAGCAAGGGTTCTCAGCACTCGGGGGCAAAGACACTTTAGGCACACACCCCCTCTGAAATGTTTGGATTATTTGTTTTGCGACTCATTACCCACTTAATGACAATAACATAAAGAATTACTTACCGCTTTACACAGGCCTAAAATAAAGTAACAATATAACATCTCACGATATCACAACTGTAAACCTGGAACTAATGAAGTATAGCCTACTAAGTGTACTTACATAATTTGTAAACCATTTTGATATTTATGTCATCCAGTATTGTTCAAAGTCACATAGCTATAGTAATCTTTCAAGCATGCAGAATAAATTTATGTTATATCCCTAGTTTTGAAACTTATGTTTTATATGAAAAGCCAGTCACTTGTGATGTACATGGATTATAAAACAGATTGATAAAACACTACTTAAGTTTACAAATAACAAATTTTATTAGTTTACAAAACTGTATATATACTTTACTAGATCTTGTACAGGTAGCA